GTGTTCAGTCTCCTTTACTCCAGGTGGTTGGGACCAATTGATGCATCTCAGATGGCCGCTTGCAAGCTTTTAAGACCCCAGATGCCACTCACCAAAGTAGGATGCAGAACATTTTCTTAATAAGCTTTGTTACGCCAATTGACTTAGATGTCCCCTGAAAGCATCGTCTCCAGACCCCTCCCCCTGCTACTCTGTCCCTCAAAGTGTTTGATTGTATTCAGAAAACTTCTTAGCTTTGGTTTAGTCCAGTTGTGCTGACCTCCCCCTTAGTGTGTGCTGTCCTTCCCTTCGCCTACGATAATTCTTGTCTATATCTAGTTAGTAAATAACTGTCATCCTCCCTCCCCACCCTCGCAACCATCAAAGAATGTTTTATTCTGTGTTAAAAAAAAAGAAATTTTCACCGAAACTAATGCCTGGGCTCATTATCTTTTGTGCACCTCTGCAGTACATGTACCTCAGCTTCCTCTGTCCTTGAACCTGCCTTGTGAGCCTGGCTATTCTCACCAATGACACAATCTCTGGGAAATCTGCCTACATGTGAAGTTTTCTCTGAATACCATTCCCGTCCTCCCCGCTTCCCCAAGCTCTTCCTCTACCCTCAGCATTTGATATCTCTGAGCTCCTCCTTGAAGAATTAATTTGCACTCATTTTGTTTATCTCTGTGCCAATATCCCTGTGCCTCTTTCACAAGCTCAGTCGACCTATATACATTTACTGAGAGACTATCAGGAACAAGAACCTAACTGACAAACGAAAATTAAAAAATGCACGTGCTTTTAAGTACTAGACAAACAATTTGAAATGTTTGGGGTCTGCAAAGCATTTCCTCCCCATTTGTGGTCTCCTGTTTTACTCCATTGTTTCACCTTTAACAGCTATGGGGCACAGGCTGGGAAAAACGATGAAAAACTGTCTTGCAAACTCGCTAACGTGCCTGACAGGAGCCTTAATGATGGGTTGTACCCATGGCCTAATGATATAAACAGTTTAGCTTTCACCACGGTGGCCCCACAATTCCTTCAACCCTCAGGCTTCTCTCCAAGATCAGATCGCGTTCTCTCTACATCCAACAGCCCCCTAGGCCAGCGGCCTGAGCCAACCGATCACCTTCTAGAGAGATCTTCCAGGCACAGCACCTTAGTCTCCTCAAATTACAACCTAATCCCTTCCCACACCCAAATCACTGCTACTTCCTCCCTTCGGATTTAGCCACAGTCTCTTCTGTCCGATGGACCCCGCCCCCATCTTTCATCAGGGGCACCTCCTGTCTGGCCCGCCTCCCGTTCCCATTCCAGTCAGCCGCCGGCTCTATCACATCGTCTCAGCCCCAACTCCTCAATGTCTCCTCGGCCAGTAGATTGTCGGTGCCGTTACCCGAAGCTTGCAAGCAGTCAACAAGCCCAACCTGATTCTCACCTGCATTGCAGTGACACTGCTGGCGGCAACGACTTCCACTTCCGGTTTCCAAATTAGCAAGCTGCTCTGGAAAGGCCTTGTCCACCAATCAGAAAACTCTCACTCGGCCCGCCCACCCACTTCCAGTTCCTCTCGGGTGCCGAGGTAGCTGGGTCAGAGGTCAAGGGTGGAACGGCCACCCGGGCGCCGGCTGGCGCCGGAGGGCTGTGATGGCTTCGGAGCGCCCGGAGCCGGAGGTGAGGGGCGGGCGGCCGCAGTCTGGGCCTCGGGATCGGAGGGGTGGGTCAGGCGGGCAGGCGCGGCTGTGAGCTCCAACAGGCCTGGGAGTGGCCGTGCCGTGTAGCCTTGGCAGAGACTGGCCCAGCCCCAAAGGCTCGAAAACCTAATCTCTCCGCAGTCCAAAGTTTCCCTCGGGGGCTAGAGCAGAAACTTTTCGTTTTGCTTTTGTTGAGTGAAATTTCATCCACTTCGCCGACTCTAGTGGTTTCGGGATTCTTTGTCCTAATAACGGTATTATCAAAGCCTGCATATTGGTGTTTTGTTGCTGTTTCAGTGGGCAACGTGGTAGTAGACCGGCTTCTGCATTTCTTCAAGCGTTGGCATGCCATCAGGAGCATAAATTAATTTAGTTCTAGCACTCATGCTTTTTAAAAAGGCAACTCTGGTTTACGTGAAAGAACATTTGACTCGGAGTGAGACCTCATTCCAGTATTGACCCTGCTATTTAGTTACCTCTGCAACCTCGGACAAATTTTAACTTCCCTGATCCTGTACCCTCCTTTATGAAGTACCTACTCTATGTTGTGTTGTGAGAACCACATGTATTAAACCAGAAAATGCATATGAGGTATCCATCATGTGCTAAGGACCACACAAGGAACTTTATATAGACTGTGTCATTCAGACTTGTGCAGGGAGGGTGGCAGTATCCACTCTCATTTACAGATAAGGAAACTGAGAAGTGAGAGAGGTTAAGTACCTTGCTCAAGTGATACTTAGCTGGGGAGTAGCAGAGTTTTAGTTAGAAGACCTGAGAATAAAATCTCGCAATATTGAAAGAACACCACCACTAGAAGAAATGTCCAGTATTACAAGAGAATATACTTAGTGGGTAGAAAGAGTGTGAGATGTGTATAATGATATAAATAGTAGTCATTATTACAGAGTACTTACAGCATGCCTGGTACTATTCTAAGCACTTTACAAATATCAATTAATCCTCTCAACCCTATGACATAGATACTGTTATTATCCCCATTTTTCAGTTGGGGAGACCAAGGCACAGAGATACTAAGAGTAACAAAGTCACACAGCTAGCAAGTGGTAGAGCCAGGACTTAAAACCAAGTGAGCTGACTCCAGATCCTGTGTTCTTAACTGTAAGTTTTACAGTATAAATAATAAAAATAGTCACAGCACAGCAAATATTCGATTCATTGAAACTTGGTGTTATGAGACCCAAGATCAAATATGATTGTATACCCTATTTAAAAGAATCACACATGTTCACAGGGGTGGTGGAATAGAAATACCAATATTTAGAAAGACCCTGAAGCAGTTAGAGGTGCATTTCATCGTTATGGATTAGAATGAGAGGAAATGGAGGGAAGATGTGGGGAAGTATAATGTACCATTTAAGTAGATAATCTAAAGCAGCACCATCCAGTAGAAATATAATGCAAGTCACATAAGTAATTTAAAATTTTCTAGTAGCTACATAAAAGTAAATAGAAACAGGTGAAATTAATTTTAATAATATATTTTATTTAACCCAGTATTTCTAAAATACTGTAATTTCAACATGTAATCGATATAAAAAAATTATGAGATATTTAACTTGTTTTTGAAGGGGGGATACCAACTCGTCAAAACCCAGTGTGTATTTTACACTTACAGCACATCTCAGTTTGGACTAGCCACCTTTTAAGTGCTCAGTAGCCCCATATGGATAGTAGCTACCATATTGAACACTGTAGGTCTAAAGTAACTTGGAGTTGAGACACAGGCTTCTGGGAGTCTTATTCAGCCAAAAATTAAACATTTGTTAAGTTCTTCATTTGCATTTCTGAAAATCTTATCAGAAGGTAAAGAGAGTGAAGAGAGCTGCCCCTGGGCGTAAAAAAGTGAGTGACTTTTAGAGGTTGTTACAATCCCAAGAGGAGAAGATTGGGCATAGTCAGACACGTGACATACATTCATCAAATACTTAAAATATTGAATGAGTGCTGCTGTGGACTCAGAATTGTGCTAAATATCAGAGTGGATACAAAGCAGCATAAAACAGACATGGTGTCTATCTTTATGAAGTAAACATTGCATTATGATAATTACCGCAAAGGAAAAATACAGAGTGTTTAACAGGGATTCTTAACCTACTTTATTACGAAGTAGAGAGAAGATGGATCAGGGAAGCCTTCTCAGAGGCATGACATTTAAGCTGAGGCCTGAAGGATAGGTAGAAGTTGGATATGGGAAGAGGCAGAGAGCATTACAGGAAAGGGAATGGTGAAGATCCTGAGGTGACGGCTTGTAGTCCTCAGGGAACTGAGAAGAAGCAGCTGGTAACATGGAGGCAATGTGACAATGAGAATAAAGAATAAACCAAACCAAACCCATTGGCGTTGAGTCAATTCTGACTCATAGTGACCCCATAGGACAGGGTAGAACTGCCCCATAGGGTTTCCAAGGCTGTTATCTTTACAGAAGCTGTCTGCCATATCTTTCTCCCGCAGAGTAGCTGGTGAGTTCGAACCACCGAGCTTTTGGTTAGCAGCCGAGTGCTTAACCACTGTGCCACCAGGGCTTCTTGACAATGAGAATAGCTATTGCTTATTGAGTGCTTACTTAAACCTGTTGCCATTGAGTCGATTCTGATTCATAGTGTCCCTATAGGACAGAGTAGAACTGCCCCATAGGGTTTCCAAGGAGTGGCTGACAGATTCGAACTGCTGACCTTTTGGTTAGCAACCAAGCTCTTAACCACTGCGCCACCAATGCTTACTTAGTGCTGTTTAATTCTCACAAAACCCCCTTGAGATAGACACTATTATCCCTGTTTTACAGATGAGGAAACTGAGGCACAGAGTTTAAGAAACTTGACCAAGGCCATGTAGTTAATAAGCAGCAGAACCAGCGTTTGATCCTAGTCACTGGCACTAGAGTGTATGTTCTTAACTGAGAGGGAGACTGGTGAGAGATGAAACTGGAAGAGAAGGTTCAGGCTGAGGCCACGCTAGAGATTCAGGATTTGGACATAAGTATAGTGGTAAAGAGGTTTCAGACAGTTCAAGGGAAAAATCTACCTTATTTCATGGGAGCGTTTTTAACAGAAGACAGCGTACGGGTTGGGAAAAACTCAAAATACAATTGAGACCTTAATCACGAAGGGACAAATGGAAAAACAACAAATTAATGAGATGGGCAATAAAGTAATGTTTTATTCTTCTTGGTATAAATGGTATATAGGGCTCAATAAATATCCCAGAGAATGATAGGCTTCCTCTATCATTGTTCTGATTTTCCTGTTTAATTGTAGCAACATCCCTATGAAGTTGTTATTCTTTTCTTATTTACATTTTATCAGTGAAGAAATTAAGGCCTACAAATTTTAAGTAACTTGTCCAAGGTCACCTAGATAGCAAGTAACAGAACCAGATTTGAATCCAGGTCTCTGACTCTAAAACCCTGCTTTGTCTTCTTTGATAGAATACTCTTAAGAGTAGTGTACTTCAGACTCAAGGGCAATTAAAAGTTGGGGAATTCAGGTTCCATGAGAGTATGGATGCTGTGAGAGCACAGCTAATTCAGGGATTCTGAAACATTAATATGGAGAAGCACTTGGGGGAGTTTGTTGAACTGCAGATTCCTGAGCCCCATCAATTCAGTTGGTCTAGGGTGGTGCCCAGGAATCTGCATTTTCATAAGCACTTCAGATGATTCTGATGCAGCCAGCCCTTGGTTCATACCTTGAGAAACAACCATTAAAATTAGTTCTTAAGTCTTCTGGTTCTGATAAATTATGTCTTAAATATAAAGGGTACTTAGAGATGATGTTTTGAAAATTTAGTTGGTGAACTTTAAAGGATCATGTATGAGGGGAAATGTTGCTAGAAAGCTGGAGTTAGATGTTCCTGATTCTAGAAGGTGGATTCTTCTTTTTTTTTTTTTCCATGCAAAAATTTATACATACATTGTGATGTGACTCTAATTGCTCTCCCCATACTGTGACAGCACACTCCTCGTTTCCATGCCTGATTCCCCATGTCTGTTCCTAACCCTCTCTGCCTTCCCATCTTACCTCCAGACAGAAGCTGCGCATTTAGTCCCTTGTATCTACTTGAGCTAAGAGGCACACTCCTCACAAGTGTCACTTTATGTCCCACAGTCCAGTCCAATCCCTGTCTGAAGACTTGGCCTCGGAAATTGTTTTAATTCTGGGCTGATAGAGAATCCAGGGGCCATGTTTTCCGGGGTTCTTCCAGTCTCAGACAGACCCTTAAGTCTGCTCTTCTTACTGGAATTGGAGTTCTGCACCCCACCTTTCTCCTGCTCCATCCGGGACCCTCTGTTGTGTTCCCTGTCAGGGCAGTCATTGGTGGTAGCCAGGTACCATCTAGTTCTTCTGGTCTGAGGCTGATGAAGTCTCTGGTTTATGTGGCCCTTTCTGTCTCTTGGGCTAATACTTTCCTTGTGTCCATGGTGTTCTTCAGTCTCCTTTACTCCAGGTGGTTGGGACCAATTGATGCATCTCAGATGGCCGCTTGCAAGCTTTTAAGACCCCAGATGCCATTCACCAAAGTAGGATGCAGAACATTTTCTTAATAAGCTTTGTTATGCCAGTTGACCCAGATGTCCCCTGAAAGCGTTGTTCCCAGGCTCCTCCCCCTGCTACTCTGCCTCTCAAAGTGTTTGACTGTATTCAGGAAACTTCTTAGCTTTGGTTTAGTCCAGTTGTGCTGACTTCCCCTGTAGTGTATGCTGTCCTTCTAGAAGGTGGATTCTGTACAAACTGGTTGATGATCTAGACTTCAGTTTAGACAGTCAATTCATTAGTCAAAATAACGTTTGAGACAAGGTGGAGAAATGGAAGCTGTACGGGTAGCGGGATTAAGTGGCCTATTAACTAACACTCTGAAGAAAGTTTTTTGATAGCACAGTGCTTGTCTATAGCCTCCATCTGGTTTACCCCCTTTCCCTCCTCACCTAGCAAACTTTGCTCAACCTTCAGTATCACTTTT